AAAAAGGTGATCCAGTGGTGCCATACAGATTTGGGCCTCACTACCTAGGGATTCACTAAGCTGGAATAAGCATTCAGGTAGGGAAATCATAGTGAAACTCTTAACTCCCTCCATGCCTACTTGTTCTGGGTTACTGGCTCATAAATCATAATATGAGGCACAGGACTATAAAGAGATTTAAAAAAAACTGTGAGTGTTTAACTGGGCTTCAATTGATTGAATTACTTTTACAGCCCAGCTGCAGAAATTTCCAGGTCAGCATTACTTTTTCACTGACTGAGAGATACGTGAAAGAAAAGGATGTCCTATATGAAATAAGAGGTGTCTCAGACCCCTGGGTGTTCGCATGGTGGAGGGGTGTGGCTGTTACTCAGCTCTTCCAGGAAAGAGCACTGAAGTATGAGTACAGAAAGCAGAATGTTCTTGAGGGATAACATTGTATTTTATTGCACCTCCTAGCAAAAATCTCAGCATGTGGGAACACAGGACTCTAAAGAGAGAACATTTTAGACTTCAGCTGGACTTTACCCTTTCTACACATTTCTGACAAATGTCATAAAATGAGGTATGACAGTAACGAGAAATGTTAGGTTGTATTTATTATACACCTTGTTAAACTGTGCTCTGCAGACTGCTAAAATATCCACATATCTACAGTGTTGCTTGTAAATATGTTCTCCATCTGCGGCAGATTACAAGTATCTATAACTGAATGGAACCTTCATATAGATTTTATTCTTAGCTGGAGATAACTGCAGACCACTGACACCAGTCAATGAACACTTCAACAGCCCAGGCTGTGGCAGGCATAATAGAACAAGAAAGGTCATAAATACTATTCCCAAACCTGACTTCACTGGAGTACAAAGTTCAAATAGGGGGACTTCAACCACAGCTCCTTGGGAAATGTATGCAAATAACCTTCTACAAAAGGACTAAATAATTCCACTTTTACATGACAGTCCATTAAATAAATGTTACACACATGGGGTGTTTATTCCACAGGTCTTACTGAACCAAAGGGTATCACTCAACACACAATTCTGTAAAAAAACTTCTGCATAAGGAATATTTTTTGTAGATACAATCATGAAAGATGTCCAGTCAATATCTTGTGCACTGGAGTCTTAGTCTGGTGGTGCAGGAACTTGTGGTTCCCCAAAAAACTAGGGAACCCATAGACACATAAAATAAGTCAACCATGCAGGCACAGTATGTCTGACCTTCACCCCCTCTGCTGTCAGAATTGTCCATGAACACGTCTGTTCTGCTTATCAAGCTGGTCTTATTCATAATAATGCAGAAAGGATGAGAGTGGATATAAACAGCACTGGCAGATGTAAGCAACACTTGACTTGCAGGGGAATAATAAAGATCGGAGAGGGAGGCTTTCTACTGCACCTAATTGACTGGCTCTCCAGACAGCATCTAGCTGGCAATGTCGGGGGACCTGTAGACCTAAAATTGCCAAAAACAGCACTCTGGTAAATTTCAGGAGCTTTTGCTGCCAGTGTTTGCAACATCTCTGCACTTATCATTACCCATTTCTTAAAATACAGGTGTCAAGCTTCCCTTGACACCTCTTTCCCCCTTCTATTGATACTTTGTCATGTTGCCTGCAAATTTGCTTGGAAATAGCTGGTGCTTTCAGGTACGGGGGGAGCATGTGACCTTCTTACCTTCCTCCCAGAATGCAGTGATGAGACCCTGATAAATGAGGAGAGGGTCATTATTACCTTAGTGTTAGCTCCAACATAGAATTATTTTGCACAGGGCATAGACTCTGGACTCAGCAGGCGAGCAGGGTGCCGAGGGAGTGCTTGAGGAGAGATGGCGGAGGTGTCTATCGAGACTGAACAGGCAAAGTGGCAGGTTTACTTTAAAAAGATTATTTTAGGATGCAAATCCATCCTGTGACTCCAGAAAGTCTATCTTTACATGTTCGGGGTCTTTCACTATTTAACTAGAGAAGCACAGCTGATGATGGCAGCCCAGGGGGTTGAACCTTTAAAAACAAGTCAGCAAGGGCAACTTCATACTTCTTTTGTAACAGGTTCTCTTCAAGACACTGGTTACTCAGTTATGGCTTTTACTACATGGGTAATCGATTCTTGATTGTCTAATAAATGATCACCAATTATTGCTATGCTCCCATGGCAGATATTGGCTTTGCAACATATGGAAGTGAATGCGATCAAGTAAATAAATCACAGAGACCCAAGGATAAGGGCCCTCCTTACCATCTTGTCTAGAATTGTATTGTGATTGTAATGTCTTCCTTATCTTGTAAAGCGCTGCGCAAACTGTTGGCGCTCTATAAATCCTGTATAATAATAATCTGAAACATTTACTGCACTGTACAGTATGCCTGTTCCTGCCTGGCTGTGAGTATATCTAGTCTATACACCAGCTAACATGTATTCGCTTTTTACTGCAAAGCCTCCAGTCATTTGCAAGTAAATTGCAGCAATCAATGTTCTGCCCGGGTAGTGCATATGATGTTTAAATTTTGTCTCAATGCATCAATTATCTTTCATTGTCCAGACTTCACTAATGTCAGCACTGAGGCTCAAGAGGTAGAACGAATGTCTTGCAGCACTGTGATTCTATGTTTAGTTATTACTGGAGGGGATCAGTATTATTTCTCTGGTACTATGGTATCCACTAAAAATGTTAGTTGGTCTCTACTAAAATTGCCACTACAGTTTTTGTAACTATAATAGGTATATACGTCTGAAAACCCCCGTGCAGGAGAGAATACAGTGAGGGGTTTGTATAAAACTACAGTAATACATAAATAGGGAAAATAAATTGTAAAGGAGATCTAAACCCTAATTGGATGGCATTTAGTTTGCACTGATTATTTAACAATGTCCATGTTTTTCTTTTTTTAGAAAACACTTTTTTTTTAACTTTTTTCCATCCGTTTTGTATCTCAGCGTTGCTGAACTCTTGCTGCCTCTTTGTAGCCTCTTACTGTCTTCATGAACTTGCTCCAGCCTCAGCTGCATGTCATTGTACAGGGTGGGCTTCCTGATGGTTACCATAGTGGAACGTGTCGGCAGGGCTACCCTCATTGGTAAAAATATGTGACAAGTTCACAATGCTCCCTATAATGATGCTTCAGGAGGCATCTCTTTGGGACACGTGGGGAAGGGGAATGCGCAGACAGAGCCACAAGTTTTCACAATGATTACAGTGTGCCTGCCGCTCTCTTTCCGGCCAGAGGGTCCCAGGTTGCTAAGAGCTGGGTGGGGAGATGTGTAAGTGGCATAAACATTTCCCCACCCGGCTCTTAGCAGCAACCTGGGACGCTCTCGCCGCCATCCTGCTCAGCTCCTGGCAATCAGTGATGTCACTGCCCAGGAGCTGTGCAGGATGCTGGCCAGAGCTGGAGCCATAGCTGAGCAGGGAGATGATGCAGAGGCATCACCCGAACCCCAGTTTCCCCTCCGCCCGTTAACATGCACAAGCGCCACTCTTCAGAAACTGACACTTCCAGGAGTGTCGATCTCATGTGTCCACACTGTACTTAGTGGTTCCATCTTGGACAGGCAGATCATACTTGCGATCATCGCAAGCCCGCCCCCCTGAGTGCGCACACCGGCCTGTGCGGCATTGATCTTACGATCATGCTAAAAACCAGCCGAAAATCGTACGATTCTTGGCTGGTTTTCTAGCATGCTCCTTAGACAAAAGATGTGCGACGGTACAGTAAGAACGGTCGCACGCCTTCCATACACTTTGCGATTATCATACGATCGCGGGATTTCCCGCGATAATCGTGCGATAATCGCACAGTGTATGGGCACCTTTAAGGTGCCCATAATCCTTACAATTATCTGGAGATTTTTGTATGCGATCGTGTTTTCATCCGAAAATCTGCCAGTTAATGGGAAGTGCACAACCGCAATTACTGTACAATTGGCAGATTTTTGTCTTTCAAGCAGGCTAGGAAATGTTTGTCTAGTTGGTCGAGAATTGATGGGTTAGTGGCGTTGTTGTACAAAAAAAATCTCAAGAGGAAAACTGCACATGCTCAAGCGAAAACCTGTTCTTTCCATCGATGAAAATCAGCCAGTTAGTGGTGCTGATGAAGGTTAATTGCGAATTACATTGGTCTGTGCATGATGGGCTAGTTTAATGAAAATTGAATGAGGGTGAGATGTCTGGACAAAAAAAGTTGTACAATGGTTGTAATGTGTATGGCCAGCTTTAGAAGAGAATCTTATTGGTCAGCATAATCAGGTGGATGCACTGATTAATCATTGCTCCTTATTGCAACCATTATGTTGCTTTACAGCCTTCATGGTTGTGTAGCAAACGTTTCAAATGCCTGGAGCTGTAAGTATGGTCGGTGGGCCAGGATCATAATTGCATGTAAATGCAGTGGGGACCGGGTTGGTGTTGAGGAGGGTGTTGGGAGTTAGTTCACCTTTTCATTTTTTGTGAACTATCACTATTCCTAAGCTAGCAATTAACCTAGTGAAGGTTAGCACTTCTACCTTGCAGTGCTGGGGGTCCCTGGATTGAATCCTGGTCAGGACACTATCTGCAAGCATTTTGCATGTTTTCCTTGTGTTTGCGTGTTTCCTCCCACACTCCATGCTGGAAGGTTAATTGGCTCCTGTCTAAATTGGCCCTGTATGTGCGATAGGGACCTTAGATTGTAAGCTCCTTGAGGACAGGGACTGATGTGAATGTGCACATGTAAGGCACTGCATAAATTGTTGGCGCTATATAAATACCTGTAATAAATAAAAAAATAAAGTTTCATTTCTGAGACAAAGGCAAAGGCGCTTTAAATATATTGAATGCCTTTTAAAAATTATATTAGCATGTTTAGGGTAGCATTTGAATTATGTGATTGGGTTTACTAAACATTGGATGCTGTTTTTTTATACAAGTCTGATGTATTGTATGAGAATAATCATCAATATAATAAATAGTACAAAAAAAATAGAAGCAAAGCAGCAATCATATGAAAAGTGTTTACTTACCGACTTCTGGTCATTTTCTTTCTGCGCTTGGGCCAGGACAGCCAGGAAGCAGGGTAGCAGCCAGGACCAGCCAGATGTGGCCCCCATCCTGGGATAAGTGTGCAGCCCCAGCACTAGGGCTCCTGTATGAGAGAGCTGAGCAGTGCTGCTTATCTCTCTCCACCTCAGGAATAATGACACATTCCAGGGATCACACAATAAAATGCTCAAGGCAGAGCCAATGGCAGCCAATGGGAAGCCAGGAAGGGGAGATACTGAAAAGCTCTTAATCCTTTGGATAGCTAAGCAGTCATAGAGATTGCACTTCTTTCCTCTCTCAACTTTACAAATAAACCCATCTGTAATCCATTTCGATGTAGCAGTGTGTGTTTATACATGATGTGCTGTATATTCCTGACCATCTGTAAGCAAGCCAGCAGAGGAGGAAAAGGCACAGAACCGCAAAGCTGATGTTTGTGTATATGAGCACTAGAGCCAAGAGCCAGGCTGTAACAGGCTGCTGGAGGAGACGGATGTCATTTATTTATATAGCAAAGACCAATTCAACAATTAAAGTGACACTAAACTCAGGAGTTAAATACATTAAAGAACCTTAACTATTAACAAAAATGTATCTTATTTGTGTATCACTCGGCTAAAGATCCTCAAATCATCTCTGAATTGGTGCTGACACTGTCCTTCCTTCTGGAGGGTGGCTACTTTTGCTCACCGTGCTCCCTTGTGTGTGTTGTAAGGTAGCCACTGCTCGAAACTTGCTCCTGTGATGGACTACAGTCTCATGTTTAGTTTACTAATTTGTATTGAGATTGTAGTCTACCACAGGAGCGAGCTTGGAGCACTGGCTACTTTACAACACACACACAGGGACCACGGGGAACAAAAGTAACCACCTTCCAGAAGGAAGGACAGTGTCCGCATGAATTCAGAGATGATTTGAGGATCTACAGCCGAGTGATACATAAATAAGATACATTTGTGTTAATAGTTAAGGTTCTTAAATGCATTTTAAGATTTAACTCCTGAGTTTAGTGTCACTTTAAGAGAATTGGAATTCTATCCAAAACTATCTTTGTTTTAGAAAGCATTAGGGAAGGTTAAGCTGGCTGAACACCTGTTGATGAACCAGAAGAAATTTGCTCAGTGTGTGGCCCTGTCTGCCACTTCCAGCCCCACATCCTTCACAGTGGCCATGTCTGCCACTTCCTGCCCCACATCCTTCACACTGCAGTCACTGTTTGGCCAACAATTTTTCACCCAGCTCCTTCGACAAAAGTCTATTGGAAAAACTACTTTTCTTGGAACAGTTGGTGCTGACAGGGTCAATAACAGCTTGACCAATTTAACAGGAATGGACAGCTTTAGCAAAATAACAGCAATAAAAAGATGTGACCCCCAGGGGGTCCTATCATTATCCTTTCCCAGTAAATTCCTGCTATTCATCCTTTAGAAGATCAGTCAGTGTCACTGTTTACCTGGGATCTGATGTTTTATTACCTCCGTATGCCTCAACATATGTTGTCTCTGTGCAGGAGAACACAGGGTAGTTTAAAGGGTATGTAAACCCCAACAATGACCTTCTCTTATTTGGTCCCTTTTATTACAATTGTCCTGCTAAAGCCCAACTCCAGCCAAAATGGTTTAGCTCACTGAGGATAGAGCAGGAAAGAGTTAAAGACTCTCACAGGGTTTTATTGCCTTGTGTCCCTAGTAGGGAGATTTCCTCCTTGCTTCCTGTCAGGACAGGAAATAATAGTGCTTACAATAATGTTTTTTATTGCCCTTACCCCCTAACATTTGTACTGGCCTCACAGGGACAGGATATGAAGGAGATTTCTCTCTAATGTTGTTACAGAAAGAAGTAAAAATCTGACAAAAGTTGTAGTTCTTCCTCACTCTGTCCAAAGCTTTAAAAAATGGCTTTAAAACTTTCATAAATATATTCCTTAATAGAAACCAAGAATATAAATTCACTTTGTCTGCACCACATGTGTGTGCAAACCTAGATATTAGATTATAAAAAGAGTGGTGACATCATCATTGTGAGACACAAACTTTCCGCACAGGGTGTGAGGGACCCAGTAGTTCCACCCACTAGACTACCTGCAGAAATCTACAGGCGATGGATACAAGACCAGTCACCCTGCACATGGAGAGAGAGCAGCAGTGACCAGTCTATGTTACAGGAAACTCCTGCACAGAGGCAAAGTTTCTCCCTGGATTACTGTGTGCAGGTCTAAAAGAAATACACAAGGGACATCAAGATTTGATGTAGCAATAAACTCTCATTTTTTTTCAATAATGAATCCAGATCAAACAAATATACACTGCCCAGCAAAGTATTTCCTTAAATTTTTCGTCAAGCACTTACAGTCGTCATGTTTCCAAACATCTGGCCCTAACTCTTTCAGCTCAGCTTCTCTGAGCTACCTGTACCGTACAAGATCACAAAGGACAGAGCAGTCTGCAGCAGCTGTCCATCTACTAGTGTGGTGAAGGGAGAAGGAAGGAGTGAGGAAGAAGAAAGGAGGAGAGGGGAGCAGGGGGGAGGGCACTGGCCCTTTCTTGCTGTATCTGTGTGTTTGTGAAGACACACAGCTAACTAGCACACACAAGTTTGACTCCATAGGATCCCACAAAGGAAAGGAGCCACGCTAAAACAGGATATTAGGGTCAGTGCTCAGGGGACCAGCTGATTCTACAGGTAGCTAAAACTTTTACTCATCAAGAAGGGACATCCATTGTACGTGGTTTTATCAGCATTGGAAATAGCTTAAAAACCTTTTGCCTTTAATATCACTTTAAGTAAGAATACACATGATTATTTATTTAGACAATATTTGTTTAGCCTGGAGTTCTTAATGTTATGTAATTTCTAATACTATTGTGCTAGATGTTCTTATTAAAGGTCTTAGAAACCCAATCTCCTATTCTATTGGGCACAAACCCTTTGTCCTACAGTTAGTAAAAATAAGCTAATAAAAGGCATCATACAAAGAAAACATCAATAAATCTTAACTCTTATATTCATCAGTTTTAACATCTACCCCCCTTCCCTCATCCAGCTGATCTACTGGCTTTCTGAAACACATTTATTTTGTTATATAAATTGCTGGTGCAGTACATTTTCTTACATGCATGTGAAGATGTCTCGCTTAGCAAACCTGAAATCTTGGCGATCATGCTCATTTACCTGTAACCTCTCTGGCATTTGCTGACTTCTATAGGAGAAAGTGATGTGACTTTCTCATTCTGACAATGTAGATACATGTACAGTGGGTGAGCTTTTTATGTTGACCTGAAAAGTGAAAATTTGCTTTGTGTTATAGGAACCATCTTGAGTTGTCAATTGTGTGTAAGCAGTACACTGAAAATGTAAGTTCTTGTTATCAATTGCTCCAGAAAAATAGCAGTAAATGATCTGAATCTGCATCCTAGGTCTGCAAAATAAAATGTAAAAAGCCCAAATTTAATTTTATTCAGACTATTATGTCATAAAAAGCCAACATTCAGGGGTTCAAAGGATCCTCTTTCATCAGGGCTTGGTACTATTGAACACAGTGTTTACTGGACTGATAAAACTAGAAGGATCCTGAGGGATAACTATGATGATAATGACCCCCAATTGAGTGGAGACAATGGGAAAGTCGTGTTGTACGCTCTGCCACCCTCATTCCTCCAAAATTTGCAGGACAACAACAAACGATCCGATTGAGCTTACACATTTCATATCAACTCCTCACTAAAATACTCAGACAAATCAGGTTGGTTGAATCAAGCAGATCAGGTTGGAATGCATAAACAATACTTAGCCAGGGTCTGCAAACCTCAAAAGGCTTATAATTAAGCCACATTTGTAATAAGCCCCTTAGCAGAGCCCTCAACAGGCTCCAATGTATCATGGTCATTAATGGGTGTAATGAACCTCCATAAAGTCAGGGCCTGCTAATGGCTATCATAAATAAATATAAAATAGACTTGCAGCAATACACATGGGTAAGTCTGGCCTTACTTGGCCTGAAATTGTTCCTTCATTCATCTCCAGTATTAATTAAAGTTCATAATAGGTACGGGGAGGGGGTGAGAATATTAAAAAGTAATGGCACGGATGTATGAGAAAAGACATCAATTAGACATTAAACACCCTTATATTACGAGGGGCAGAAAGCTGATGAGACACATTTACGTGTGAACGGGGACAAACAGTTGCCAGCCTAATCTACAGAATATCACATCAGTACAAATGGTGCAGTGCTTAGATTTTGGGTATTCAGACTCAATTACCCAGCTGCACTTAAAACATTTGTTACTTTTTTGTTACATTAGCTTTATTGTATGTTGCAATATATAATTCCTATTTATAAAATTGTTGCACATGCATGAATTGTGTGTGGCCAGACTAAGGGACATACAAGGGGATTGAGTACTGACAACGTTGTCAGTTTTAGTAGGCATTGGGAATGTAGATATACTCATACTGTTTGGGTTTTTTTATACACTGTATATAATTTTTGTATATTTAATAAATTTTGATATTTTATTCCTTGTAGTAACTAACTTTTTACCAGGTTCTTCTGGTTATCCTTTTGTGGGGCTCGCAATGTGGGGAATCTTGCCTCATGCTACTCTTAGGGTCCTAAGAGAGCAGCAATGGTCCTATAGACATATTATGCTTGAATATCTCTACAGTACACACTCGCAGAAAAAAAACATGAATGATAGTGTTTGTAGGTGTGTAAGAATGTACTTTGCCCCATTGTAATGTTTAGCTAAACTATAACCTAAGAGGAAAATCACTATAAAATGGGTAAACAGGTACACTATTGTTTGCTCTTCCAGTAAAAAGCATGTGATAACGTACAACTTTTCTGGATATTGCAGAATAGTTCTTGATTTGATGATCAATGCATCCTCAGTATAAATAAAACAAGGCTAAGTTTTAAAAGATATTTATAGTGAAACAGGCACACAGCTAAGTCATGAGTTGAAATGAGAAAATGAGCCCATGTGGGACTCTCTTAAGGTACCTTGTATATACACTGAGTGGCCAGATTATTATGACCACCCCATCAGTGCTTGGTTGGGCCACGAGATGACTCCACGAGATGACTTCATTGGGCCGCCTCGTGACTCCACGAGATGTTGAAAGGTGATGCGAGGAATCTGACACTGCCCTGTTGCCCTTCTGTTGTCTTGTACCAGTCTTACCACTCTCCGTTCTGCCCTAACATTGACTAGTCGCTGACGGCCACAATTCGCACGTT